ATCAGGATATATGTCAAACATTTCCGTGTTCTAATGATTAATAATTCCTCTTTTTACTTTCTTCTTGTGTCCATCTTTCTCAGCAGCAGCAACTCAGCAAAGAGGACACCCTGAAGACCCAGAAGACCCTGAAAACCCATAAGACCATGAAGACCCAGGCTCATCTGAGGATTTTAGCAGAGGGCCATGTGAAGGATGAAGATGTACCAGTCAATCAGGAAGTTCAATCAGCTGTGGGTCATCTGCTGCTACCCAATATCAAATTATCAGGGTCGTCTTGATGTAAAAGGAGACAAACCAGTCTAGAGCCTCCCTGCTCCTTCAAGTCACTTCTTGGATGAACATTCATTACTGCAAGCAGCTGTGTTGGAAATCTTTTCTTTTATCTTATCTTTTTTTAAATCTATTAATGAATGAACTGATGTTGTGAAGAATTCTGTCAGAACTTTTTTTAAATAGCTTGTCTTCAGTAATCTGCATATGTACATCTTTTACATTTAAATTGCATCTGTTTGTATATTTTACACATCTGGTAATGTAGTACATGGAGGAAATGCTCAAATTAAAGTTTCTGTTAAGTAACAAGTAAACAAGGTTTGTGGCTGCTTCTTGCAAACATTCATTTAATAATTTTATTGAACACTGTACATGGAGCAATGTTGTAAAGATATATATAGACCAGTGCTTCTCAATTATTTTCTGTTACCCCCCCCCCCCCCCCCCCAGGAAGAAGTAAACATTTCGTGCCCCCCCAACTCTCCGCCGCGACTGTAAATAGTACAAACCGGATTCCAAAAAAGTTAGGACACTAAACAAATTGTGAATAAAACCTGAATGCAATGATGTGGAGGTGCCAACATCTAATATTTTATTCAGAATAGAACACAAATCACAGATCAAAAGTTTAAACTGAGAGAATGTTTCATTTTAAGGGAAACATCTGTTGTTTCCAAATTTCATGGCGTCAACAAATCCCAAAAAAGTTGGGACAAGTCCATTTTTACCACTGTGTGGCATCCCCCCTTCTTCTTCCAACACTCAACAGATGTCTGGGGACAGAGGAGACCAGTTTCTCCAGTTTAGAAATAGGAATGCTCTCCCATTCATGTCTAATACAGGCCTC